ATTATTATTATTATTATTATTATTATTATTATTATTATTATTATTATTATTATTATTATTATTATTATTATTATTATTTTAAACACCTAATAATCTTAATAATCATTTAATAATTAAAATAATAAAAACCAAATATCTAAAATTATAAAATATTATATTTATGTCATAATTTCTATAATTAATCAATTATACAATTTTCATGCGAATTGCAAAAGTTAGACCATTTTTCATAATTTCAACTTCCAACTAAACAAGTCCTACTTAAAATATTTATTGAAATTTCATATTTATTTTCGAAGTTTCCAACAATATGATAGGTCTCAAAATCATAATTACATAATTTAGATATCATTGTAGCTTAAATTTTATCAGATAAAATTAATTTTAACTTCTGTACAGATAGAGTTATCTAAAAATTTAAAACAAAAGCCAAATAAATGCCTAAAGTCAAATAAAAGGTTTTTTAAAAAAGAAAAATATAGCGTGCCTGGACATTCAGCGGCCTACTTAGCAATTGCCCACTTAATTCGTGCTTACTGCTAAGGCAATGCGTTTTCCAACATCTCGTGTCTATGCGTTTTTATTTATTTATTTTATTTTATAGAACACTGATCATTATACATAATTTTGATGTAGTCGGGTAGCGTGAGAAACAAGATCATAATTCACTAGCGTTGATTCACGTATGAATATCAAGATGGATTAATCAATTGGGAGAAATTGGATAACAACTAAATGACTATGAACCTTAATTCCAACTTTAATTTAAAGGAAAATAAAGAACACCAGCTTACTCCTTTAAATAAACCCTTGTTTAAGCGCAATTCTTTTGAGAAGAATGAATTTTTGAACAATGCATTGATTTGAAATGTGTGGTAAAAAAATAATGAAAATTTTTAGATTTACGTGTAATATTATTTTATTAAAAATGTGTGATTAAAATAATGTCAAAATACTGTTTAAAAATGTATTTTTTTTTTCAAATAATGGAAATCAAACCGGCGCTAAATAATAATAACAATCTAAACAAATATCTTATATTAATCTAACTTGGAATGACTTATTGTTGCAGTAAACAAATAACAATTAATATAGCCAGAATGATAAAGTGCCAATTTGCAAGCCTAAAGTATGGAATATGGCCAAAAAATAAGTGGAAACAAGGGCTCTAGGCAACGGGGTGGGGCCGGGCGAGGACTAGGCAACTTTTTGCCACGTTTATTTTTTTTATATTTTCAAAGTTTCGAGTTATGTTATTATTAGAGAATAAAACACAAATTCAAAATAAGTTTTAATGGGTGAATTGTCTGGAAATAAAATTATTTTTAAATTATTTTTTAATTTTTTTCCTTTGTCCTGCCCCGCCCCGCCAACCCATTTGGAGCAAGGTCCCGTCGGGGCGGAACGGGACGGATTTTTTTTGCCATCACTACTCTATCCCATGAAATTTGCTCCGTGGCTCATTTTTTGTTCAGATAAGTAGTATAATCATTAATATCTGACATTGTTGATTGGATCAAAGTATTCATTTTAATCACTTATATAACTAACTCAAATAGATTAAAATATTGTTAGAGAATACTTATTGTTTCTTAACTCAAAGATCAAAATCAGACTCAAAACATTTATAAACACAACATGAAAGATTTAAAATTTACGAAGCCAGAAATGTTCAACAACAGAATTTCCAATTGTACACACGGTTTGTTCCAAAAAATTAGTAACCCTTTCCGCAGTGATTTCTATGACAAAGGTTGCACATATTTGAGGTCTCTTGGGAGAAAGAAATTAAAATAAAATAGTTATTAAATGATTTAATTAATAAAGACATCATACTATGCTTTATTAAATAAAATCCCTAAAAGTCCTGACAATTTCATGTGTGTGTAACATGAATTATTTTAATTTTTGAAGTCAAATTACAAAACTTTCAATGCTACTAGAAAACAAAAAATGAGCGATGGAAAGATTTGAAGTAGAGTAATATGAACGACAAATTTTATCAAACTAGTTGCAAGACATCATACTATGCTTTATTAAATAAAATCCCTAAAAGTCCTGACAATTTCATGTGTGTGTAACATGAATTATTTTAATTTTTGAAGTCAAATTACAAAACTTTCAATGCTACTAGAAAACAAAAAATGAGCGATGGAAAGATTTGAAGTAGAGTAATATGAACGACAAATTTTATCAAACTAGTTGCCAAAGACACAAATTTGTTATGGTAGTAGTAATAGCTGTGTCGCTTATGTGACGGATAACCATCTACTTTACTTTCTATTTATGATATTGACGTTTTCCATAAAAAAGTTCTTATACTTAATAAATTAATAAATGCATCATAAATTACCTAAAAAGTAAGCATTTAAATAAAAATTAAATTTTTGGAGAATGAAAATTGAATTTCAAGTTATATTAATTAAAATTTTAAATCATACTAAACACAGATAAATAAAATAACACTTAAATATCCTAAATATATGACATAAAATGGAAAAAATTAGACTATGTCGGAGTAAAAAACTTTTGTCAGTTTAAGTGCAAGGTTCTATAAAAGCTATACTAGTAAATTATTTAATTGTTTTATTTAATAAATTTACTTAATTGATTAAATTTTCTTCTTGTGCATATATATATACACACACATACTTAGTATGCATAACAAAATGCAGATATTCACAATGAAAATGCCCTCTTCTCCCAACCAACACTTCAAATCGCGGCAGGCAAATACGCGAAAGATCCTATATGTATTTCTTATTTGAAAGTATATGAGTTAAAAGGCAATTCTAAATTTTAATATATTTATCTTGTTCATTTCAACCTTGTACAAAGTCCATGACAAGTTTCTTTATATTGTTTCAACTTTATTGGATATCCTTGAGGAACACAATGTCACAATGCGAACTCGCATTATATGTAACCACTTTATTTACAACTCAATCCCTTTTTGTCAACAATTTGATCATATGCTGAACAATATTTCTCTTATTCCTAAAATTGCACCAAATAATTATAAAGTAGAAGTGAAGCCATATACATTCGGAATCTCATTTTCCTTTCAATGATCGATTGAAATTATTTTTCATTCCCACATACCGTGTGTGGATGTGTATATTACTTTATGACTAGTCTCTCTTCCATATTTGTATTTATGATAAAACGCTAAGTGCATATTTCATATGCAATATTAAATTGTATTGGATATAATAATCGAAAATATTTGTGCTTCTATTTATTTTATTTTATTTTATTCTTTTTATGTGTCATTGATAATAAAAACGTATCACCATAGCATTATTTATTGTGCACAATCACAAGATGGATACAAAAATTAATCTATGGGACAAAATAATCTACTCAAAGGCTTTGTTAAATCACATGAATCTTGTAATCATTAGTTATTATTAGGTACACCTTCAAACCAGTGGCTCCTTGCGGCGCTGGGCCTGGGAGGAAAGCCCCGGTTAGTGATAGAATTTCAAACCTTCCAGGGAGAGCCACCGCGGCACCTGGCTCAGTCGGCTGTTTGATTGTGACATTGGCTACTGATCCACTTCCACTCAATACACACACGCCTCGTTGGTGCCTTCTAGAGAATTGGGCTATGCTTTTCGCCACATCTGCTCCACCAGCCACCTCCATGACGTGGCTGCGCAGCGCGTTTGGGCTATCTCGGGTGACAAATATTGGTGGCTTTGGCTTGTTCTTCGATCCAGCTGGTCGGCCTCGAGGTCTACGAGTACCAACCTCTACAGCACCCTCGTTAGGCTCGTCTCCTGTGTCTCTCTCTTCTTCGCCTCTGCTGCTACTTCCTCCACTTCGTTCATTGATGAATAATTCTCTTTCACTTTTTTTCATCAGAGACCCCGGTTCAAACCCCGTTAACCCAACCTGTCCTGTCCACCACGGATTAGCCATGGCTGAAATTTGGATCAATTCAGCTGGAAATTAATGAAGAAACACAGATCTTGATGATTGACCTTTGCCTCCTTTAACTTTCTTGATTACTACAACAAATTTCAAACCCTAATATCAGTCTTTTTCTGATTTAGGACATGAAATTCACTACAGTCTAAGATCTGTACACATGTTTGATTAAAGATCATATATAGATTTATAGAAAGATAAAAAATTTATAATTTCACCTTTATCAGTAGAATAAAATCTATCGCCCCTGATAAGAAGTAAGTCTTGAACCTAGCTCAAAGAGTTGTATCGATCTGAAAGGGCAACCCGTTTGAAAGTCAACGGATTCATTGTACCCTCAGCCTCACGGACCTAATATCAAATTCTTTTACCCAGGAGAAATCGGGAGAGAGAGAGAGAGAGAGAGAGAGAGAGAGAGAGAGAAAGAGAGAGATTATGGCATACAGAAATCTAAGTTGAAGGCAAATTAAACCCAATAAACAGAATCAGGTAATAAACACAAAGGATAATGGAATAAAGCAGGCAAAGATTGAAAAACTATTAATTACCAGTAAAAGTTACTACTGGAACATTTAATTGTAAAACCTCCATCTTTTCCTATGTTCTGATACGCTCATCATGCAGTGAATTGGGAAGCTAACATTTTTCTGTTCTTTATACTACTGTACTCACACACTCTCTCTTTCTTTCTTGGTTATTCTCTGAGAAAATTAGGGTTTCGAGTGGTGGGGTCGCGTGCTAACGGGCAGGTGGAGAGCACGTCGCTGTCTCGTGTTCCGACATATTGAACGGAGGGCGGACCTATATTGCACATTATTATATTATTATATGTATATATATTTATTTTCACGCGTTTCATTTTGATAAGTACCTGAAGTCTTTGATCGTGAATCGGCCATCTTACCAATTGTTCTCTCAATACATTTTTATCAATTGGTATATTAACTTTATTGAGAAGACGATAAGATTTAATATATCGGGATGTCAAATTATATGTCGACTTCATTCCATTTGCAAATAATGACATACCAAAGTGTTAAAAATATAGCGAATGTTTGAATCCATTTTTCCAAAATTCATTTTTTATTCTCAATCACATTTTCCATAAAATAATTTTACATGTAAACCTAAAATATTTTCTATTCTTTAACGACATAGTCTCCAAAAAATCATCATTCCAATATCTATTTTCCTAAAGAAAAATGGGGTTCAAACCGGACCATAGTTTGTTGACTGCAAATTCGAGATAGCATGTATGGACTAAACTAGATACAATTAATATATACTCGAATGAGTTAATTTAATTTTCACTTCTTCAATATTAACAGTCTTGTCTTAAGCATACTAACTATGCTATGTTATGCTAATGCACAGAATCAGAAAAGAAAAAAAAATTAGAGAATCCAATATTACATTATTTCACTAAGGCTCCGTTTGATTCGCCAAATTTTTCATGGAACTTGGTATTCGAATTCCAACTTTCACTTTTGACCTGTTTGATTGACAAATTTTTTCAGAGAATTCATTTTCCATGTAATTCTAGGTACAACACTTTAAAACATGATTTTCCACCTTTTATTTTCCTAGGGGTTGGTGGTTTTTGATTTTCCACTTTTTTTTTTAATTGTTGGCAATGAGAACAAATTTTAGGAACAATTGTAAAAGAGGATATACCTGAAATTGACAATTTTCATATAAAACAAAGCCAAACGAACACAAAAATATAGATGGTTTTTTGATTTTTGTTTTTTTGAGTAATGGAAACAAATTCTAGGAACAATGGTAGAAGTGGATATCCCTTAAATTGACAATTTTCATGTAAAACAAAGCCAAACGAACACAAAAAAAAATACTTTTACTTCAACATTTTCCACGTGAAAAATTATACCAATTAAACATAATAATTTACAATTCCCAGGAAAACAATTTTTAGGTAATTCAATTCCCTGGAATTTATTTTTTTTCCACCCAAATTCCATTTTAAATAAATACGATTTACTTAGCTTTAATCATCATATTATAGAATTGTACTTTTTTTCTTTTCTTTGAGAGATACAATTGTTCAAATTTGACTGTAGTTAAAATGAAAGAGGCAATTCAAACTTGATATATATATATATATATATATATATATATATATATATATATTTCCAATTTCTTGTTTTGATGTAATAATTAATTATAAGTTGATTAGACAAACAGAAGTAAGTCAATGACCTTGAATTAATTACTAATGTTTGTTTTATTATAGACTTTCGAATAACAACCATGGTTTATTAGATAATTAGGAGAGGAATTATTAATTTATCGTGTACCAATTAACTTTATTTGAAATATTGAATTTGAGATGGTTTTAAGATATGTTTTACTGCAATGTAAAATCATCAGACTAACGTGATGCAATAAATTGAATATCCATAATTAATTTCATAATCATCTACTCGTAGAATCAAAACTATTTTAGTATATGAATCTAATATACCTCTATATGAACTACGTTATACGAAATGGAATTAATTTCTATGGAAATTTACAAAAAATCACACAAACTATAGATCTCAATTGGCCAAATTCACGATTTTTGTTAGCAAGAGTAAACACGTATAGTCTCAATACGGTTCTCCAGTCAACTATTGGCTGAAATCATTAAAATCAATAACAAAAACACTTCATTAATTTATATTTAAAGTCAAAAGATGATAATCGTAATTAAACATGATAATTCTACTTTGTTAAGTTCTCCAAAATCCGTGACTGTTCTCGTGAGTTATCCGAATTAAAATTATGTGTTCCTCTCCTTTTCATGTAGACTTTGGCCTTCATATTTGAGTGTTTTAATTTATAAAATCTTCCACGCACAAAATAGCCCCAGAACTCGTAGAGGTCCAAATGTCTTCAAGCTCAACGTTGTTCTTCAAACACTATAAAAACTCGAATAAAATAACTAGCACAAGGGCACTTTTGACACATATGCGCAGATTAGGACATGTAAAAGGAATCTTATCAACATTAGGGATGGTAAAAAAATTTGTCTTGCATTGCACAGTATTGTTCACCCCTAATGAAGTGGTTACGGAAAACATGATCCTTGTCCTGAAATCTTCAAGATAGAGTGAAACTTACATTTATCACTTTGCACATAACTAAGGTTCTTACAATTTTAAACTCATCATTTCATGTATACCTTGTCATTGGGACATAGATAAGGATATACTATAGGTTGGTAAAAATTTTCATCTCACCATCACAGTATTGCCTAGCCTCTAATACAGCGAGGACAAAAAAACATGATCATCGCCTTGAAATCCCCAACTCCACACATTTTTTTTTGTTTTATATTTTCCAAATTAAATTAAATCGTATTTAAAAAATGATCAATTAATCTTATGAAGCAGTAAATGGAGATTTTTTTTAATTCCCATTACAATTCACCACGAAAGTACCCCTTTATATTGTGATGATAGGATGTCTTTTCAACTGATAGTGGGATAAATTCGGAGTACATATCAATATCTAGAATGGGTAAAAAAGTTAAAGATTCTTACCCTCATCCTCCCGTTCTACACCCCTTATCTCAAATTTTGGATCGAACTAATCCATTGACACAAATAGTTCCTTCATAATTTCAAAGGATTAGTCACTTCAACAACCTTGAAATAGTTAGTAGTGAGCCGACTATCTTCCTTAATAAAAAGAAATATATATTGAAATGTCGAGACACTCAAGATTAACCAACATTCATAGAAACTGAACCAAGAAATGCAGAAAATAAAAGTGCAAAAATAATGATCACGATAATTTTTTTCAGTCGAAGCCCCAGAGGTTCAGCACAAGTACCTAATCCCCTGTTGAGCATCCACTATCAATGGATTTAGCCTGGTTGCACTATAAAGCCCCCAAAATCAGGCAGTAAGTATACAATATTTCCAGAATATTATAATATACAAGTCATAAAGACTTATCTCATAAAGATTCACCAAGGCAGACCATGGTTCACGAAGAAACCACGAACAGATCACTCAGACACTTAAGTCACAGGTACTAACATTCAAGAATCACATGACTTCACAAGTCATTATACAATATGTAAGCTATTCTACACAGGAAACACAAGAAATCACCAAGATTTCATCAAACCCGACTGCACACCACATGAAACCACTCAGGTTTCCATAAACTCAACATGGCAGTTCAGTAGCTTAGAGATCTATAACATATTCTGGAATAACTCAAGAAAGAGTTCTGAAAATCACTCAAAAATAGAGCCAAAATGAGAGATTCATCGAGAGAGAAAGAGAGGCGACTCAAAAAACCCTCAAACTCGAGAAGCCGAATGGAGTAAAAAATGAAAAGCCAACAGCCACCCAAACCATTTAGGGTTAAATACATAAAATGATCTAGAATCAGATCTAACGGCCAAGAGATCAGAACGTGTCACAATCCAGTTGACTCCTTCCATTAGTAAAGTGTCACTTTACAAAACACTCTTTTAGTTAAAATTGTGGAAGCTCAATTTAAATCAAAGTGATTAGCAGTTCGACTACCAACATATATGAATATTTCCCACTCCGATTTTCAAAGATATTTGACAAAACGAGGATTTTAGTAACGGTCCGAACCTGTCCGGCCCGTTGCTTATAATAACTAACAACTTAGCTTAGTTTCAATATCACGAAACCAAAGAAATTCCACCACATTGATGGCAATGGACTGGGCTATGGCAGCCCTCCCCTGCCGAATCCCCACTTATGGATTTGGAGTGGCTACAGTAGGGATTTCTATTTCCTTCTTTACTGTTATTTATTATTTTTGAAAATAAAATTTTAACTGCAATTTAAATTTTAAAATATAGAAAAGTAGATGAAAAAAAATCTTTGAATGGTACAAATGAATTAATATCTATTTTAAGAAGAAAAATTTGGAATGGGTTTGATAGTAACTCAAGCTTTGATAATTTTCAATTTTAAACGAACTTAATTTTAATAGATCCGACTATGTGAATGGCAATTTCTCTTTTTAAGTTAAAGAAAAAAGAAAGAAAGAACCCCCTAGCAACATAAGAGCAATAAAATAAATATAAATAATGATGTCTACTGGTTTAATTGAAATGACACCCATAAAACCTTAACCCCTAAAATATTTCTTGTTAGTCAACTGACATTTTAATAACAGTGATAACGGAACGGGTTGTGATCACTTTTTTAATGAGTTAACTAACCTTATAAAGAATAAAAATGTTCAAGACTGTTTCATTATGTCATTGAACAAGAACTTCCATTCTTTTCATAGTTTCATTTTTTTATTAATATTGTGTAGAACATTTGATGAGTTTTAATCAGATCAGACTCAAACTCAGCGCCATACAAATTTTATATTTCTCAGCACCATACAAATTTTATATTTTTTAGTATGTTATGATGAAATGACAAGAGTCATAAGATTGAATAAATATGAAAATATTATACTAGATTATATTTCTTGATTTGAAGTTATGAATTACGTAATTTAGGATTTTTTAAATTTTTTTAAAAAAAAATTATAGTTGATTTGAAAGACCTAATTATATCCAATTTCTCAATGTTATGCTCAAGAATTCACCCAAACATTTCATTTGGACCTTATGTCAAATATCCGCTTATAAAATAGTATTTTTGTGTTCATATGACATTCCACATCAAAACGTGCACTTTAGAGAGAGAGAGAGAGACAGAACAAACATTTTTGGTGTAAGGTAAGCATACAACCAATAATGACAATGAAAAGCATCAATAAACA